TTTTTTTTTTTTTGGAGACAGTTTCTCACTATGTTGCCCAGGCTGGTTTCCAACTTGCACTTCTACAGCCTCAGCCTACCAAGCTGCTGGGATTATTGGTATGCACCATGTTAATATGTTAACCTATTTTTTTTATCCATTCCTCCACTGATGGGCACCTAGACTAACTAATTCATAATTTACCTGTTACGAATTATGCCATGATAATTCATATGCAGGTGATAGTGGAAATGCAGGTATATTTATAATATGCTGACTTTAATTACTTTGGGTATATATCCAGGAATTGTACAGCTGAATCATATGATAGTTCTATTTTTAGTTTTCTGAGGAACCTCCAAGTTGGTTTCCATAGTGGCTACACTAAATTATATTCCCACCAACAGTACCATAGGATTTCTTTTCCTTCACACCGTCTCCAGCATTTATTATTACTATTTATTATTTCGTGTTCTTAGTGACAGTCATTCTGATAAGGGCTTTTTTGTAAATCAATTTCAGAGAGGTGATGGATTATAGGAAGGTTGGGATTTGCTCAAGAAGATTTTTGTTCCCCCTCCTCGCTATCTTCTCCTCATGGACAACAGGGACCCCATCAGAAAATGAAGAGAAAAAACCACAGTGACTGAGGAATGTAGAGGAATGCAGGAATAAGGGGGAAAGTTCCTCATAAAAATTTTAAAACTGAAAAGCTGGTCTTAAATGTGGTCTTTCCATGTCCTTTTTATTCTTACTTTCCCTCATACATCCTTTTCTTCCCTTTGTCCTCTCATCTCCCAACTTCTACTTTCCACCTATCCTTTTAACTATTTGATCCTTTCCTAAGTCTGAGGAATTTCAAGTATTAAACCAAGGCCTGGACAGGAGAAATTTAGTCTTAGCTATCATTGGCAGATAAACTGCAGAATGCACAGTTAAATTTGAATTTCAGGAAAACACATAATTTTAATATCAGTAGTCTGCTACCAGAATTGCACGTTCTGCTGCTTGCCACCCAACTTCAAAACTCAGGAGACAGAGGCTGATGGAAGAAAATAGGTTTACTAAAAGCCAAGGAAGATAGAGGAGACCTTTTCTGCTTCAAATCTCCATTTCTGGAGGGTTCAGGGGTGCAAACAGCTTTTGTAAGAGGAAAGGGTGGAAAGGGTATACAGACAGACAAAAGGCAGGAAATATACATATGCAGATTTAGCTAGACAGTATTAGTCACAGAATGTATTATAGTTCTAGTTTTTCAACCCTTGCTGGCACCTGCCCAGGCTTTGAGGCCAGTTCTTGGGTTTCCATTCTTAGCATGAGGAAGCTCAGTTGCAGAAAAATAATATATCAGGAAATTGGGGCGATTGGGGCTTTTAATCCTACAGGGGCTCTCTTACATGTCTCATGCAATATTTGAGACATACTGTATTTAAATCGTATTGTTTATCTGAAAAGTAAATTTAACTGGATGTCTTATCTGGCACTACCAGTCTTAGGAAACTCCTACTCAAACTGTAATGTATATACATATCTCATGGGTTTTATTGGAATACAATTGGGTGTGGGATTCTAAGTTTCTGATGAGCTGCATGCTGTTGATGCTGTCCTGAGAACTACCTTTTAAGTAACAAAAATCTATAACCACACAATATATGGAATTTAAAACTTTCTGGGAGCCACATTGAAAGTAAAAATATACATGAAATTAACTTAGTACTATTTTTATTTGACCTATCTAAAATATTACCATTTTAAACCTTCTCAATTTTAAGAGTTGTTAATGATATTTTACATTACTTTTCTTCCCCAAGTCTTAATCTGGTACATAATTTAAACTTACAACAGTCCTCATTTTGGACTAGCCCAATTTCAAATGTTGAGTGGCTAGCCACATGTGTGGCTCATGTTACTGGTTTAAACAGTATAAATACAGAACATTTCCAGCTGCTAGAGCAGTACCTTGCCTCACTGGGTATTGCAGGTGGTGCCTGCTCTTCAAATCCCTGGTAAGGAGGAGTCGAGAAGCCAAGGCCATCCACCACAGCTGAAAAACCATTGTGTAAATCTCTTAGAGGTTATCGTGTAAGAATTTTTCATTAAAATATGCTTGGGTAATGTTTTCAAACACATACACATAAATTTTTAATTTTCAAATCGAGTATCATATGTTTTGATGATCCTAAAATTTTAGTGTAGCATTCTTTTTGTTGCTGAAAAATTCTCCCATTTGGTTAAGCATATTCAAAGCAGAATAATTAATAGATAGCAGGTTTCACACATGTATTTTAGAATAGAAATCACACTTAAGATGTGATTGTCTGAAAATAGTTCATCTTGTGACTTTGGAGGAGAAAGGCAGTGACAAAAAAAATGCTAAGTGAATATCTTAAAGACTGAAAAACACAAGGGCATAAACTGCCCTAGATTGCTGAGGAATTTGCAGAGAACTGTGAAGAGTTTGAGACCTTAAGCATTTGTAAGTTAATAGTTATGGATACTGGCAGAAGACATAGGCCTCCTGGGTCAGAGAAAAAAGACTTTATTAATCACCACATGCTGCATGAGCATCAGTAAGTGTGTCAGCTCTCCTTGCCCAAGTAGGCCCTGGTGGATGCCTTTAAAGACAGTGAGATTCATTTCAGGAGAGAAAACAGTGCTCAAAGAACCCCAGTCTTTGATAACATTT